TCAGTTCCATATATGTTCTTCAGGAATGAATCTGGAAGGTGTGTATGAATAAACACCATGCAATATTAACACTGGAGCGTAAGGAAAATCCTGGTTTTCAACACGGTTGGGAAGTGGGTGCCACTTATGTCGCGAGACGGCAACAACGTCTTCATACACGGCCCCCACTTCCCAACCACATCGTCACATGCAATGGACATGTGATATGGTAATAAGAATATCTAATCTGTGTGTGCGTGTGTGTGTGTGTGTGTGTGTGTGTGTGTGTGTGAGAGAGAGAGAGAGAGAGAGCCCTATAATTTTCTCCGTTTCAATTGTTCCTCTGTTGTTCGGCCCATGTCCATAGCAGCATCGATATTGTCGTCTTTCGTGGCACGCAAAAGGAGTGTTGGTTGTGCATGTATAATTGCAGCCGCTGTTGAAATTGTGGGGTGCATGGTGGCACCGCATGCAGTGGCAGCTGCTCCGTGTATGACGCAACTCAGGTTCACACCCCATGACATCGATGTCGTCAGAATGGTCTCCTTCTGTATGAGAACAAACCATGATTTTCCAATGCGAGTCCAACGTTTGCCGGTTTCGATGCACGACATAATCGTCTTGATAGCTGCGAAGTGTAGAAGCCCGTCTAGTGTTGCCACCTTGTCCACAACACGTATCAATGGGTGCGGTTTCAAGAAATAACGCGCCAACATCAAAATCGCATGACACCAGCCTTTCGTGGCTTGACCACCACCTCGCTTTACGTCCCAGTAAGGGTCGTATTCCTCGCCCTCCTCGACGCTGCTGATATCACTGCCACTCACCTCCAAGTCCCGTAAAGCCGGGTTCTGTTTCTGCGGTCGTGTCTGCGCATCGCCCTTGTCATCAGAACGAACCACCGCATCATCTCCCTGCCGAGACGGTTGTTCACCCCCTTCGTTGAAGTCACCTGAAGGACGTATGGGTGCCAATCTCCACTCTCTGAATCCGCCATGGACAGTCCGGGCATCTGCAGCAGGATTCTTCAACACGGTCGTTACCTCCGGGAGAGATACTGCGCCACCTACGTCCTGCACTGTTATGTCTCTTGTGTGTGTCCTTGCGCAATTGTGTTATCGGACAACGATTTCTCATCCTTGCTTTCTCTTCCTCCTCTTGTCCACGTCCGTCAATGCCGCGGTGAGCTCCTCTACAACCTCGAATATGTTCGCTCGGGGCACAGGATCTCCCGATACAAGGTCGAGTGTGCGATCCTTTACACACTCGACATCGACAACCTCCGCTGGTGCTATTGCGTCCTCCATCACCTCATGCAATGCCTCGTGAATGAGGTTTTTGTCCTCCCCTCCACTCGTCATGAAGTCCACAATCTAGTCAAGTAGCACATACTCGACACAGTCCACCACCATTGTCGCTAGTTCATGGAAGTCGACAGGATCTCTTTGTGCCTCCTCGTTCATCCTGCTCAGCGCCAATATCTCTGCAGCGTCGGCTTCAATTCTTCACCACCCCCTGTCTTCAACATTTGATTTTCCCTCAGCTGGGATCTCACAAGTTTCTTGAACGCCGCCGTGTTGTACGAACCTCCTCCTTCTCTTTTCGTCATGTCGATGTCTTGGTCGTTGCACATCCAGTCCACAACTCCGTGAAGAGTAATCGCAGAGCACTCTGTCATGATGTGGTCGTCATGCACGTCGGCATTTTGAGATAAGCGCAGCAGCAACTGCTGTGCTCTCGTTGACCTGTCTCCGTTTGCCGCCACTGACTGCTGAAGTCAACCCTCGTGTCAAAGTACGCCGGCGCTCTTTGCCGTAACAAATCCAGCTCCTCGTCGTTGTAGTAGTGGATTCCCTCTGTTGCGTATCTCATTACCTCTCTCTCCGCTCTCTCCACTTGATCCGCCGTCATCGATGTCATTTTTCTGTGTTTTAATGTGTCCGGCTGTCAGTGGCACCAGAACAGTCGCGGTAAGTCGAAAGACGGTGGTGGTGGTGGTCCTTGGTGGTGGTG